ACCGCCAGCACTCGGTACAAAACACCAAACCAAAGGAAAAACGATTACAGTAAGAATTGGAAGTTTCCCATAGGCAACAAAGAGCGAAAATGCCAAGACCTAACTTTGCCAAATGGGGTTATTTTGCCCAAGGGTTGGGCCTTTTCCTGCTCGGTAGGTAGACCGCGATCACTCGGTACAAGACACCAAACCAAAGGAAAAACGATTACAGAAAGAATTGGAAGATTCCCATAGGCCACATAGAGCGAAAATGCCAAGACCTAACTTTGCCAAATGGGGTTATTTTGCCCAAGTGTTGGGCCTTTTCCTGCTCAATAGACCGCCAGCACTCGGTACAAGACACCAAACCAAAGGAAAAGCGATTACAGAAAGAATTGGAAGTTTCCCATAGGCCACATAGAGAGAAAATGCCAAGAACTAACTTTGTCAAATGGGGTTATTTTGACCAAGTGTTTGGGCCTTTTCCTGCTCGGTAGACCGCCAGCACTCGGTACAAGACACCAAACCAAAGGAAAAACGATTACAGAAATAATTGGAAGTTTACCATAGGCCACATAGAGCGAAAATGCCAAGACCTAACTTTGCCAAATGGGGTTATTTTGCCCAAGTGTTGCGCCTTTTCCTGTTCGGTAGACCGCCAGCACTCGGTACAAGACACCAAACCAAAGGAAAAACGATTACAGTAAGAATTGGAAGATTCCCATAGGCCACATAGAGCGAAAATGCCAAGACCTAACTTTGCCAAATGGGGTTATTTTGCCCAAGTGTTGGGCCTTTTCCTGCTCGGTAGACCGCCAGCACTCGGTACAAGACACCAAACCAAAGGAAAAACGATTACAGAAAGAATTGGGAAGTTTCCCATAGGCCACATAGAGCGAAAATACCAAGACCTAACTTTGCCAAATGGGGTTATTTTGCCCAAGTGTTGGGCCTTTTCCTGCTCGGTAGACCGCCAGCACTCGGTACAAGACACCAAACCAAAGGAAAAACGATTACATAAAGAATGAAAAGCTTCCATAGGCCACATAGAGCGAAAATGCCAAGACCTTACTTTGCCAAATGGGGTTATTTTGCCCAAGTGTTGGGCCTTTTCCTGCTCGGTAGACCGCCAGCACTCGGTACAAGACACCAAACCAAAGGAAAAACGATTACAGAAAGAATGGGAAGTTTCCCATAGGCCACTTAG